TTAATGCTGCGCATTATGGACACAAGCAATTTTCACCCATTTATTAATTATATGTTTCAGACGGCAGCAAAAGTCCGAAATTATACGATTTAAAATAAAAGCAATAATTGTGGCTTGATATTGAGTAAGAACATGTTTTTATGAACCACCCAGCTTCCGGTCTTCCTATAACACGTAATGCCGTGAGACTACCAATGGAAATGCATTGCTTTTAAAATCGTGCTGTGCAACACGAAAAAAAGGGGAAAATCGTTTTGGTGAACACGAATCAATAGATAAAAAATCGTGTTGGTGAACACGAAATGCCATGAGACTGGGTTGGTATGTGATACATGTAACATGTCCTCCAACCTAGTTATAAGTCTATTGCTTTTACTCAAGCCAAAACTGCACAGACTATTCTTTGTCTCCAAATCATTTTAAGTGTTTTGGCCTGGCCGACAGGGCCACACTGGCAGCCAACTTAACATAAAGGACCTGTGGGCATTGGGAAATAATGACAGGACCATTTGGAGGAAATCTGCTCTTCTCCAGTGGCAGATTGATTAAAAAAGGCTGTGTGGACTGATTTCCTGTATCCTTGTCAGGCCCCATCCTTCTATAGTCCCCCTCCACTCATCTGGATCACAGCTGCCTTCTGGTACTTCCTACCAGAGAAAAACAGGGAGAGCTAACCAGCATCATGGGAGACTGACCAGTTACTTATTTTCTTAGAATTTGATTAAACAAATAATTAATGTTATGTAATGTCCCACATTTGTTTTCCTTTGTTGTATTGTTTTTTTTCTCGAGCTAACAGAAGTGTCACAATATCTATATATATGTTATTGTAATTTCAGACCACCTTATGGTTGAACTCATTTGTATCAATGCCACTTTTTAGTACAAAAACCGTTTATTCTTGTTTTGGTCAAGACGTTAAAAGTGCTGTTTCATTTTTTTGCTTTAAGTTGAAATTCTTTGTGATCCAATCCTGGCCTGTTAACTTACCACTGCCTTCTCTGTCCTTTTAGGAGTGGATATCCTCTATCAACTGGGGCTTACAGCTCAAAGCAGCAGAGGCGAGAGGACAAGCCCACCATCAACTACTTACACCACTGTTCCCTCGTCTTTGAATTTTCCAGTTTCTGGATATGGGGTATTACTCGACTCAAACTCCCTCTATGAGGCTCCAGCAGGCAGTCTGTTCTCGCCTGAGATTGGCGAGGAGTTCTCTGTCGTTGTTAGCCTAAGATCATGGCGAGCAAACAATGCTTTTCTTTTTAGTGTCAGAGATGGCAGGGACAGGCTGCGATTTGGCATCCAGCTGCTGCCACGCAGAGTGGTGGTTTACACTGCTGAGAAAGCCTCCATCTACTTCAACTACAACTGGCAGGATGGGCACCAGCACCATTTTGCTGTTGGTGTACGTGCACGCTCAGTATCCTTCTATGCAGATTGTGGAGCGGTGCAGCAGCGAGAGCAGACCCTGGGGAGATCTCAGACACTGGGAGATTTTGGGGGTCTCTTTACACTTGGGAGGATGAACTCAAAAGCGGCACCATTAATTGGTCGAGTCTGCCAACTAGATATCTATCCTTCAGCCCAAGCTGCCGTGCACTACTGCAAATACCTTAAAACACAGTGCCGGCTGGCCGACACTTACAGATTGCCTTTGCCCCATCCTGGTTCAGACATTGAGGCAAATGACCGACCTTCTGACCCCTTGAGTATGTCTATTGTTGGAGTAGCAGCTTCCCATCATACCCCCTTAAAAGCCACAGCAACTTCAAACGTGCCACCAGGTAGTATGGTCACACAGCATCCTCAAATGGATCAGAGCCACATTTCCAAATTGGATTCCCATGCCCTCTCAACCATATCTTTACCCCAGGCTAACAGCCCCACCATTGCTACTCTGAGTCGACGAGCAGTTCTGGATCTATCTGGAACTATCACCAACAATGTTTTGGAAAAAGAGAGTAGCCCTCAGGAGGACACTGTTGTCTCTGAAAACAGCACAGAGGAAGAGAGCAGCTCTGGGAGCCTACAGACTCCAGAAGCCAAACCTGGCCTGATTTCCCTAGTCAGGCAAAGTCGAGTGACGGAAGGACTCAGGAACAACTCCATCACCAGCTCCAAGGACTCTCGCTCTGGGCCCCATCAGACTCATCTCCTCCTGGAGACTCATCTTAGAGCCAATGGCACCACGTTGTACCGGGAGAATCACGTTGACACATCAGAACAGCATGACCTGGACGGCAACTACGATGATGTAGACGTTGGAGAATATGATTATGGATATGAGGATCCAGAATATTTTTATGACTACGAAGATGGTTTCCGTGGCCCCAAAGGAGAGCCAGGTCTTGCGGTAAGTGACTGAATTTCTGAATGACAAGTAAAGCTATGAGTGTCTATGGAACATAATTCAAAGACTAGAGGTACAAGTTGGTGCATTGCAGCACATGTTTAAATGGAAATATTCATGCGAGGCACTTAAAGGTAATTTATGATCATCACATTTGAAATGCTATGTAAAATTTGGCTTTGTTACATACACACAGGATATATAAAAAGATATTTGGCAGGGCGGTGTAGTGATTTAGTGGTGATGGCATGTCCAAGCACTGTTCTTTTTTCATGTATCTACAAGTTGTTAAAATAACACATCATTCCCTTGCTGAAATACTGCAAGCAACTTTGAATCTTATTATGTTAGAGAGAATATTTCATCTGACGGTTGGAGGTATACCCTCGCAAAGAAATCAAGCCATAATGATGTAATCTGCCTGTCAGGATGGCTTTGCCACTGAACATGCTTTTATAGTTTAGATTTAAAGGTTGTGCTAATGTTTCCATGAATGAAATGTGTCAGGTATGTTTAATTTAGGAGTGTGTAAGATGTCTGGACTCATCTACTAGTTTGAATAGCTCACTTTCAAAGTGCTTACAAGTATTTAGGTGGAAAAAGGCTTTGCCAGCACTGAGTCGTTGCACTTATTTCCACTTCTCGCACTGAACTGCAGTATTGTGAGCATGATATCGTCCAAGCCTGGGCTACTCCGACCACTTTGATACATGCATGCTTTAAAACATTGATCAACCGAGTCAGTGGCCAAACTTTGTCATTGCATCTATGTTTAAACTTGGAAAAAAAACCTGGTTTACTTCCTCAGGGGAAATATGTCATAGTTGTGCAGCCAAATTACTAGAAAGACACATGGCTTGTGCAGGGTGAAAACTTGCGCCTGGTTAAACCCTGCAATCCTGCCAGTTTTTTTTTCTTCACCGACCCTCTGTGTCGAAATCCCAGGTGTTTTGAGAGGGACCCATTCTGGCTTTTTAAATCATTATAATTAATTGGACCTGTTTAGATCAAGTTTTTTTATTCTGAATTATAAAAATGCTTCAGAATAAATATAAAGGCTTGACAAAGAGAGTGAGGTTTTGACTTCAGTTAGTCACCATTGCTTCCTTAATGCATTCTGGTTATCTCTCAGTTACCTGCTCTGTTAAAGCAACCCACTGTACGTCAGACGGCTTGCTTATTGACTGCATGTTGGGTAATATTGAAGTGGCATGATAGTGTCACACGATGCTATAAGTTCTGATGACTAATTCTACACTTTAACTACAAAGAAATTTGCCTTTTTGACTTGCCTATGGGAAAATATTTAACATTTCTTGTCAGAACAGATGAAGCATTTATCTTTTTACATCTGTTTGTTGTGGTGAAGGCGGTGGTGTGCTCACTGTTTCCATGTTTCTTTGTGTGGGAGTCTAGAGGAACAAACAGCTGTTTCTTTATTCATATCTCCCTCTGTGCCAATCTACTGCTCTTTCCAGGGATGAGGATGCTCAAAGGCATTCTATCCAAATGTTTTGCTGTAGCAAAAAATCTACAATATCAAATATCAATTTCATAAATACAGTATAACAACAAAAATATTTTCAGGTGGGAATATGTTTTAAAATTGTATTGTTTTTAAAGTGTTTAATGACTATGGCTGGCCTTGCAGAGCAGTAGAAAACCCTAAAGGATAAATAGCTTGATTGAAGGAATGTCCTACTGACTCCTCAATGTTATCCATTAATTACAATTGCTGTTCAGCTCTGTAATCTTGAATAAACCTCTACTTTCAGGGGAATGACATTACTTCTAACACATTTTTCAGAATAAAAGGATTTGTCCTGCTATATCTGATACTTCGTATCTTTATATAAAATCCCCTTTATCAATTAAGATATTTCAGAACTCGGCTGCCTGATATGTTTCTAATCTGATCATGATGCTTTGTTTGTCCTAATGTCTTTTTGAATCTTCATAGTCTCCCTGAAAGGCATTTTCTTGTCAAAACTTTTAGAGGAAGTAAATTTCCACTGCAGGTCAGAACTGACACATCTGTGCCTGTACAAAGCAGTTGGAAAGATCAAATATAGTGGCAGCAATTATAGCAATATAATGAACAAGCAGCATGAGTTAGGAATGACATACTCAGACGAAAAACCACTTTACTCCACAAGGTACTATACACATGTAACAGTGAAGGTGGATCCAATGGTTTTCAAAATGTAGCTCTGCCTAGTTAGAATTTAAAGACATTTGTTAAATAATGTTAGATGAGTCCTTGACTAATTTACAAGGTCGAAGCCCATTGTTGAAGCCTTGGTCATTTATTGATCCTCCAATCTGTTTAACAATTACATGGCTCTTTGATGGACACACAACTTTTTACTAAATGTAACTTTTAATAAATTCTATATATATATATACTTGGTGTAGGTGTAGTGGTGGTCTAATGGATAGTGAGTTGGGCTGAAGATCGGAAGGTTGTGAGTTCAAATCCCGCAAGGAACACCACCACTAGTGTGCCCTTGAGTAAGGTCCTTAGTTACTCCAGGGAGAATGTCCCTGTAATTGGTAATTGTAAGTCGCTTTGGATAAAAGCGTCAACTAAATGAAATATAATGTAATAATATTTATATATTTGGAAATTATAAAAAACCTTCTACCAAAACACAGAAAGAAACATCAGATTCCATTCAGCATGAGTCTTTATACCGGGACATGTCATGCTTTTGTTACATATGTTTCAAACTATGTCTTTCCATGACGAAGGATTAAGTTAATCCCACGGGTTGACCAAAGGATGATGTTGACAGTCTCATCTCAAGAATGTAATTTGAGCCTTCTGCTCAGAATTCCTAATAGAGTTTTTAGTTGAAAACAGTTGGCTCCTTTCTTTGAACTTCATAGCTCTTACATAAATATAGCACATATTCTTCATTGCAGAGACCTGGACAGTGAACTGCATGTTATTGCTTGTCATTAACATACTCTATCTCTCTTTCCCCCCCTCACTCCCTCTCTGTCTCACCCACTCCCTAAAACATACCCTTCTTTTTCTCCCTGTCCCTCCGTCTCTAATTTAGGGTCCTCCTGGTCCCCCCGGTTTACCTGGTCCTTCCGGAAAAAGAGGTCCTCGGGTGAGTAAATTGCACTAAGGTCACGGTACAATAGCAGATTTAAAAAAAATAAAACAAGTCTTATCTTTGGATTAAGAATAATATTATGACCGTTTCACTAAATGTGACAGTGGCAAAGTATAAAAAAGGGGATGCTTTTATAACTAGCAGACGTGTTTCTTTTATAAAGTAGAAAACTGCTGTTAAACTTTTATTTAGGATGGTTAGTAAACATGTGCAAGAAAGACTAATCCAAGATAATATAAACACAAATACTTTTTTGCTGGTCATAAAAGGAAAATACAAATGAAGAGAAAAGTCAAGGACAAAAAGTGCTGTTTTGTTTTGATTTAGATTTGCATAATCTTTTGAGATACCGGCCACTCAGGGGCCATCATGGAGATACAGTATTGTTGTTTGATCACTGAGTCACTAACAATGGGTTCAGATCAGGCTTCTTGGCTACACTAACACAACCACAAAATACCTTTTTTCCTTTTCATCTTTTGTTAACGCAGTTATCAGGCAATTACCTTTGTTTGAACCACATTGTATCTACCATCACAGTCCTGCTGTCGGGAAAGAGGGACATTTTTGTGGTTAGCATTATTAAACTCAAGAACAAGCTCAGCTTTGTGAAGGATCATGACAATTAGATAGTTTGCTTTGAGGATGCAGGCAGCATTGTTTATTTGTCAGCACCTTTGGAACACCAAAGATGAGTGACCAAACTGTTCCAGATGAAACAAGCTGCAACCAGCAGAGGCTTTTTCGGCACAGGCTGCATTTCCCATCTGAACTTGAGACTACACTCTAAGCAACTGTCGAGTCTTTCATGATGCAATGCTGCGTTCATGCCGCAGGCCCTGAAGGCATCTTTAAACAGAACAAGACATATCTACATAATGGATGTGGTATGTGCAAGAGAAAAGGTGTATAAAAAGTTCTCTCATGATTGTTGTAGCAGTCTTCCCTGCACAGCAATATCTTCTGGCGAATATAACTCAGAGATTGTAATCATAGACAATGTCAGTGTCTCTTGGAGACGATAAACATAAAGTTTGATTACCTTTTAGACTGTTTTGAAAACCAGCCACACCAAAAAATGTCTCTCAATCAACTGAATAATGAGTAGTAACAAATCATTGCATATTAACATGGAAAAATGTTGTTAGTACATGTTTATGTACAATTTACACTATATATCTGTCTGTTTTTAGACAATAGTTAACTGTTTTCATGAATTTAAAGTTACAAACAGTTGTAGCATATATTGGCTTCTTTTTCAATTTCTATTAACAGTAAAATATCTCTTCATTAAAACCGTTTAAGATGTTGCATTGTTTTCATCATAGCAGCAATATATTATTTTTTAATTATTTGTAATATTTACAATTGCATCTTTTGCTAATTGGACTAAATGCAGCCTTATGTTCTGCTGTATTCTTCTTAACAGAGAATGACAGGCAGACTGAAAGGCAGATGGACAGGAAGACAGGCTGGTAGACAAAGAGGTGGCAGACAGTAAAACATGTTTCGAGTAAAAAAGGCTTGGAAAGCACGTAGCTGATACAGAACATACTCTCAGCCCATAGGCTAAGTCATAAAGTGGAGACAGAGGGAGGCCTTGCAATCATTATGTGGTGGGAAGCTGGGGGCAGTATGGATACTGAGGTGGTGTCTGCTGCCTCAGCACAGAGCAGCAGACTTATTTTGCTGCCTCTAATTGTTAACGTTATCAGACTATAAACCAGGGCACCCCATTTGGTGGTGGCATTTGTCATTTGTCATGGAAACAAAGTAATTTATCAGAGGTGCTTTTACTGTAAACAATCTCTGAAGGGGAAGACAGTTTAAGAATGTAGTTGGGGATTGATACCCTAATTTATTATTTTACGCAGGAAGAGGTTGCAATACATTTTCGTATTGCTGTTTTCAACACTCTTAAAGAAATGTTGAGACTGTGATAAGGCCAAATACATGTCACAATACACAACTGGCAATAGAAATAGGTCGATTTTTTGCCTTCAAGCAGTCAACAAAACATTTTGTTGGTTAAATTCTAAGACTCAGATTGCCCACATTAAAAATAACAGTGAGAGAATGCAAAAGATTGAGATTTGTACTGTAGTGCAAAGAAAGCATAGTGGATGAGTAGTTGGGCTGCAGATGTGCAGGTATGTAGCATATTTATGATGTGTTTGTGAGTGTGATTGTGTGTTTGCACATCCAGTTGTGGGCATACAGGACTGTATGCTTATAAGTCCTTAGTTCAATAAAAATGTGCTAATTTTCTAATGTTATGTTTTGATAGTTAGTTTTTTGTCTTGGGTCTTGGGGGGGCAGACATCAGGGAATGAGTTTGAAACTTCTTGACATGTAAACCACAATGCACCTGTTTGAGATACTGAGTAGTCATTAATGATTTGTTATTAAATAATTTGCTCTTTCTAACACTGTCTTCATCTTTTCCAGGGTCCCGTTGGTCCAAATGGAAACCCAGGACAGCCTGGACCACTTGGGCCCAAGGTGAGAGGCCTTCTTTAATTATACACGTAAACAGCTAAAAAAACATTTATACTGTAGAAAATGTTGATACAATGAGATTTGGCAGAAAAGTCTCTACTGTTTGAGGGAACTTTCAATACATCTGTAGAAGTGGAGGGATCTACAACAGAAATGGTTAACAATGTATCATTTTGTATATTGCAAACAACTGATACTAAGCAGTCAACACAGGGTTGAATGAAGTGGTCTGCTTGAACTACTGTCATGCTTTATTGAATTTTTGTATTATTATGATGGAAATATCAAGGTCCTTGCTTGGTCGAAAGATTATGCAACAATTATAAATACCATGGATGATGAGGCTGGTGATATTTTGAGAACTACACAATTTGGAAAATTGAAGGATACCCAACCTTGCAATAGGATGATGGGTAACAAAAAATACACATATGACACGTTTACATTTTTTTCTTTAAATGTTTAGTTGCTGGATTAAACTCTGAACTTTGATTTAGAAAGATAATTATGTATTTTTGACTTTTCTTATGTGATTATAATTGATGTTTGATAACATGAACCCAAATGTAATGTAATGCAAGATTCATAAGAAAATAGATGTGCAAAGTCAATGGTGAAGTATTATTTTAGGTCAGGGCTTTACACCTTAATGGAATTCTAGTTGAACCGCTGATAACTTTTTGTGCTTTTTTTAATTCAAGTAAACTATCAGAATGATGCCGTTCACGTAGAACATTTGGGGCAGTCTGCACGCAAAGTTAAAGTCTTCAAATTTATGTACTTTTAAACCTATACATTCCTAAGAGGTGGTGATAAATGTGAAAGCACAATTGTTCATAAGGGTCTAGTCGGTTGGATTTCTGAGTCATTATAGTGAAATTAAGATTTCAAAGATGGGGATGACAAGTCTGATATTTTTTCACTGCCTGAGGAAGTGTACTGTCACTATACATACTAGCCTGCCAATCACCAGCCAGACACTTGTAGCCAAACACTTGTAGTTATGCACTTTATTGTCCTTAAATCCTTTTCACTCTGTAACTGTAAGTCTACTCTACTGTAGTCAACGTTTTTTGTTATCAAATGGCATCAATTATAACCGAGAATGACGTACAGTTCCCTAAAGAGCCAACTCTGCTGCTTAGAGCGTGTACAATTTGGATTCAACCAGACAGCCAGATGTAGGCAAGAGTGATAATAACGAGCCATTGCGGGATCACAGTAAAACAGGAAAGGCTTGAGGAGACAGGGGTGATGTTTGGCCGAAATGACATACCCCATATCTTAGATCCTTTTTGCCACATGGCATAATTTAACTAGTCCCGACTCATTGGTCATGACTCATGACACTGACATTCAAGAAAGAAAGAAAGAAAGAAAGAAAAGACACTTTTTTCTTTAACGAACATGGTGCCATATGTAAAGGATACATTGCTACAGTGGAGCAAGGATGTGGTCAACTCCATGCAGATGGATGTGGTGACTGTGGTCCTGTATGTCTACCACAGAGTGACTGCTTACAGCATGCAGTCAGCAGGGGAACACTGATGCTTCACCTTACCCTCACCCTTTAGTCTGGATAGCTCCTAAGTGGGTATTGTAGTTATTACATATACTGTATAGCTAAAGATGAGACAAATATTTTTAAGTACTTTCATCATGAATGTTGTTCTCTTTGTCTTCCTCATCCCACACGTCTAAAAAGAAGAATGCTCTTGTTTCCTCCTTGATTAGTCAAACCGCACAGGCAGATGGATGGATTTTAGCCTCTGAGTAACCTTTGAACTTGCTGGGACACTGTGCACATTTGGCTGAGGGTGTTCCATTGGTCATTATGAAATATGAGGCCACCTGCTTGCTCGCTGTTCCTCAAGCCTATACACCCACATATGTGTGTACAAAAGCAAAACCACCGTATCTAATACCGTTGTGACCTGTCAGTGAGTCATTCTTACTCCCCCAACCCCTGCACGGAATAGAGATTGAGAGACTCTTTGTCTTAGTTTGGGAAAATATCTCTTGTTGAAATGTTATTGGTCACTAGGACTGATGCAGAGGAGAATAGTCCCTGATGCTGAGCTGAGTTGAAATGTGAGTCAAGCACACTCTGAAATGTTATGACGATGTCCCTGCAGGGCTTAAAGAGCCTTTCAATCTGCTTTATGCACTGCTGACTGCTTTTTTTTGTGTTATGCTCTTATGTAATTTTCCCTCTCCCACCCACAAGTTTTCTATGCCTCACTGGCTGTCAGTCAAAACAATAGAAACATGATGCTAAAAATCTAATGAGGAGAATGTACGGAGCTAAAGGTTCCAACAGTGCCTTAGCACTTCACACCAGAACCAGCTATTTCGATAGTACATTTATTATTCAGAATGTGGACAATAAACTGTGTGCAATACCCTTTTCATGGCCTGTATGTATTTCTTGGCATTTAAATGTCACTTTAAAATGCCTTCATGTGAATTATCATCAGGTTGATAGAGAAATGTTTGTGTACTGCAACAGCTCTGAGTTAAACCACAGATTGATTTTCAGAAAGCAACTTTAAGGGCAAAAATGACAACATTCAAATAACCATTTTTAATCAGTTGTGATGTCAGTAGGTGATTGATTGCTTAAGACTCTTCTCACTCTGTGATCCTGTTTCTATTGTAGGCTTCAAAGGGAGATCCCGGGCTGTCTCCAGGCCAGGCTCCAAAAGGAGAGAAGGTAAGAATTCCTAAGGCTCCCTGGTCCTCTGTGCTCCTTGCTCTGTATTTCTTAGCCTCTTCCGAGCGTTTACTTCATTGAGGGTAATCTTGAGACATTTTACCTCAGTCCTCACTTACACTACCATCTGCTCACAACTGCTTTTTCCTCTGCTCTTGATTTCTCAAAGATATCCTAAAATGATCCTACATCAAAATCCAACCAGCAAGATAAATCTGTCTCTGTATGTATTCTCGCACATTTTGAAAAACCGTTTGATCTAAATCATACCGTCTAATCCATCTATTGATTTTACGAAATTTAGAATTTGTCCAAATTCAGAAACTTCCTCTTAATTCCTTCTTTTCAGATTTATTCTCTCAGACGTATTTGTCTGCTGTCACAAAGCTGGTCTCCCTTACTCTCTACTTAACAATCTCCATCTTGTTTCTTTTTCTATAAAAAAACATCACGACAGTAATGATTTTTCCTGATCAGATAAAGGTCTTGAACTAATTAATCTTGAAAAGTATTTTTCTCCTTTCAGTTTTAATGGTCTGCGCACTCATAGAAATCCCCCTAAGAAAAACTGTCATCTCCTCTCTGAGCCTTTCCGGGATTGCCAAAATAATGTCAAATTTTAACTTGAAACCAAATATAGCATACTGTATGTCCGCACAATATTTATCCAACCTCCCCCTGATGTCTTCCACATAAGTTTTTGCAAACCTCTCATAACTCTTTGTAAAAAGTATTTTTACCTTTTGTAGCAATGTTTAAGCCATTCCATATTTCTACCTCTCTGAGCTCCATTGACCCTCTCACCTCACGTCCAATCCGATTTTTCAGAATGGCCCAATACTGCTCATCATATGGTTTCAATTAGAAGCATCTTGAATAAATCATTTTTAATATAGACACAGGCTAGACACTGACTGAAGCACAAAAGCACATTTAAATTGTCCCTCTCACTCACCTGTGGAAAATCCACAGCATCAACATTGCCCTGTTGTTCATTAATCACTGATACACCCTGTTGGAAAAATTCAGTGTTAAATCATCAATTCTAATTAGGTTACTTTTGCCTGGGTTATGTGCCAGAGACCTTAAGCAATGAGATTAATTTCCTTTAATAAAACTGTGTTCTACATTGTACAACTATTCCTTGTTAAAATGCCTTAATAAAGCTTTTGCAATTGGATCAACACTTTTATTTTTACATACATCTTCATCTCTGTATTGATGGTGCTTATACATTTGTTATGTGTTTCAACAGGGCGACAGAGGTCAGCCAGGTTTGTTTGGGCCGAAAGGATTTCCAGGCCCACTGGTAAGATTTAAGTTATTAAACTATTCGTGTTCAAAACAGAAGAAGAAAACTCAGAAGTTTTATTGCCAGAAAATAAAAATGTGTAAGGGTTGTCCATATACCTCAGCGCATATTTAACTTTTGAAACAGCGCTTTACTTCTGTCTTTACATTTGTGGAATAATGAGGCAAAAGGAGTCAGACATGAACCTAGTTCATACGTAGTTTAAGTTATGTGTGTTTAAAAATACAGGTTTAGGTTTAAGAACACACACACACACACACACACACACACACACACACACACACACACACACACACACACACACACACACACACACACACACACACACAACACACCCCACACACAGATGTTAGCTGAGGCGTCTTAACTTGGTTAGTTTTAGGTTACCGTGCTACCTCACTTAAACTTGATAGGCTAAAGGTCAAGGCTAAAGGTCTTCCAAAAGAGGAAAGGCACCCTGTCCAGAGTCAGGGGGTCACTGACACACAACATCCCATTCCTCCTCAGGTCAGCAATTGTCGGGCCTAAAGAGGGAGAATTTCATTGACAGTACAATCAGAAAAATGAAGGACACTGACATTCTCTCTATGTCCATCATGCCTTCTATTTGTTGACTCAGATTTGTTGTTTTGCTCTCGTGCTTTCTATGTCTTGCTCAGAAAGGTACAAACACAAAGGTGCTGTTAATACAATTGAGCTTTTGGCCTTCATAGAATAGATCTGCTATAGTAGGTCGCCCTGCTGCCCACATAGCTTTATCTGCACAGTTGTCCAAGAATCCTCTTATTGAAGTCTAGTCTCCACATAACTGGCCTTCACCTTACCTCCCAGGAGGCAATATCAGTGTTTGCAGTAGCTGAACCTAATACACCCAGCACATGAACTCTGCCCTGTCAAGTATTTCCAGAGGAAATTACTGGCTCCGGTCTTGTGCTCTCTACCCCAAAGTGTGCATTTTATTGAGTGTGAAGGTTCATGTGTCACAACCTCGGATGCACACGGTGGAGCCAAGACATTGACCTGGCCCTGAACATTTGTTTTGAGCTGTAAACATCTGTTGTTGATATCCAAGTCAAAGGGAAAGACAATAAAGATAGTCAAAGGGAAGGAAAAGATTGAACAATAGATCCTGTTGAAGTTTATAAAGAAAGAGTGCTTGTTTAATTTAATGCATAATTTGATTGTTGCACAAAGCTAACTGTGGACTAGAATGAGCCATCTATTAATCCTATCCTATGTTCCAATTTTGTTAGTTTTCTTTTAAACATTTCTCACGCTGTAAATCCATTCAGTCCGAACTCAAAAGGTGTCATGGACTGGCCAATTTCCCTGCTCATTATCTCCATCCCAGTCTAGATTGATCATAAAACACATTTTAAAACATTTTAACATTCTATTGACTGTTCCTCAGTAGTTCCAATGAGCTGGTTTCCTTCAGGGGAATGCCTTGATATTTATTGATTCAAATATCCTTGGTTCTCAAATGGTTTCAACTCCTATGACATTTACTCTTGTGCTACCATAAGGTTTTGTCTGAAAGTCTTGACAACTATGACATGAACTGAACCTACCTTCTCTTGTGTATTGCCACTATCAGGTCTTCATTTGAAGTTGACCAATACCTTATAGATTATAAAATAGATTTTACCTGCAAAACTAATGTCATCTGTGCTTTCCAATCAACAAATGTTAGCATGCTAACTTGGTAAACACTAGCATCAGTATGTTAGCATTGTCAATGTTATTATGATAATGTAAGCACGATGACGTAAGCATTTAACTTAAAGCACAGCTGTTCCTGCCTCATTGAGTCGCTAGCATGGCCGTAGACTCTTAGCCGTGTTAATGTCGATATTTTGATTTGGGTGCAAAATGTATTAAAAATACATTTGTTTGTTCTATTTTCAAGGGTCCTAAAGGTTATCTTGGGCTTGCCGGACTGCGAGGAGTACAGGTAGGTGATAATCTGTGTGTGTGTGTTGCGCTGATTGTATATGTGCCAGACAACAAAGCCTTAAATGTGATGACACCATCTGAGATGCAGACCCAGCATTCGTACATACAAAAAACTTTCATACACAAACACAGCATGCTAACATGAGTCCATATACAGTACATATGGCATGTATGAAATATGCATAGATATACATTTTGTATGTGTATGTGGTTCTCTGTTTATCCCACTCTCTTTCACCTCATCAAAAGACTTACAATTATAAAGCCTCATTACACGGACTCTTTGCATACAGATTTAGGAATAACCACAAAAATGTGGCACAGTTTAGATTATACCTGATTGAAGACTCTAGGTTCCAAATTATGTTTTGGTTTGAGAATTCTGAATGTAAATCCAAGCAACTGGTCATAAGTCATATCAAGCAATCATCAAACATATTATAAAAAAACCTGCACACATTATGATCCTGTCAGACAATAATGGTGAATGTCTGCAAAATATAAAGATTGTTTCTACAGTACGTGCTGATTCCACTTTTTCAATGTCTGTGATTCATGCAGTCACAGATAACAATAGTTATTACAACAATTCATGAATGTTGAAATTGAGCATCAGGTGAATGTTTGAATGCAAAGTGTCACATTAACAGTGGACTAAAAAAGTGAGCAAGAGGGGGAGGGGTGGGTTTGAGGGGTGCAGAAAGGTACAGTTAATAGACATCGTTGTCTTCATGGAGGCCGTCCGAAATGAACAGTGCTTGTTTTATTCCTCACTTGGCAATGCTTGTAGCGGTCTGTGAGTCTCCTCTTTCACTTTATCCATCCATCTAATCTCCCTATTCACCTTTCTCTCTTTCTCTCTCTCTCTCTCTCTCTCTCTCTCTCTCTCTCTCTTCTCTCTCTCTCTCTGCTGCAGGGCATACCGGGACCTCCTGGGGAAGCCGGGGCTGCAGGTTACCCTGGCAGGCAGGTGCAGTGAAAAATACAAAAATATGCTTCCAGTTCCTCCATTGACCCTCTTAGATTCTTGTTACTCTACAAAGAACTCTACAGGAAAAACACAGAAAGGATAATAATAACTACACAATGAAACAATGTACACTTCTATCTGCCTTCCTGTTCACATTTCTTCCCAATTTTGGATTCTGAACTAAGCAGTAAACACCTGCTATTTTTCTCACTAAAGTACATGGAACACATAGTTAACATTGAAATGCATACATTAATGCAATATATGCTGATGTAAGTGATTAAACTGTTGGCCTAAACCTTGTGATACTGCCAGCAGTTTGCGAGAGGAAATACAGGTGCAACTTAAAGTATAACACATTTGTTTTCTTTTAGATCTCAGTCAGCTGAGCTCGTTCTATTTTTCTTATCAGGCCATTCAAAGTCTCATGTGAAATGACTCTGTTTTTGTCGTTGTGCATACTGTGACAAAAGATCCACCTTACCTGAGTCTTTCCCTTTTGCAGGGTGCAGCTGGGCCACAAGGTGACCCAGGGCCTAAAGGTGTCCGTGTAAGTACAAGTGGTTCTCTGCTGTCCTTCTACTTTATTTTCTTCAGCAGCGCTGAATTAGACACCTAATTTCCTGAAAGGATTAGGAAACTGTCAGACCCACAGCCTTGCTCCAGAGAGAGCGCTGAGTTGTATTCCTGACATGCTGTCTAATGTGAGACGGCTTGTGGGGGCTGGTCCGGGCTCTAGATTGTCTCTGTTAAGGCTGACTGGTTTGTCTTCATTTGGTTCATGCAAGAAGGCTTCAAAAACAGGAGAACAGAAGGAAGAGAATCTGAAAAGAACATACAGTATAGGAAAATATGAAAGCAGACAGAATTAGGTGGTGAGTGATGGGACTGGGAGCATTGCAGCCCTGTGAGTTATAAGATGTGAGTTATGGTGTGTGTGTGTGATAGAAGAAAAGGAGAAAAAATTAATACTTCTTATGCCATCTGACATACTGTACATATATGGAATGCAGCCAAGGTATTGCCTTTAAGAAAATACATCTCAGTCATCCTATCCAGAATGACAGAGCAGATAGTGTATATCAGGATTTTCATAAAGAAATTGATGATGGGTTGTCATGCACATGCACAAGACAAGGATTTGCGCCTGCCAGTGATGTGATACACATTCCCGCGAACGCCACATATCAACGGGTGGAGGTGAGCAAAAGCAGGGAGAAGAGACTGCTAGCAAGCAAACCCAAATCTAAACAATGCTCATCTTTAAGATAGCCAGATGAGTGTCATCAGTGTAGCCGAAGAGAAGCCATGAGAGCAAATGAGAGAGCTTATGGATGATGGTGTTGGTCTTCCATTGGTCCTGTATGACAAGCCATATACACTGTTTATGCTAAACTGAATAGAAGTATTGTGGTCACATTAATTTATTGAGATACTGTAACACTGCAGACATATTTTCAGACGATCCTGTGATTTAACATATTGCTGATTTCCCAGGGTTTCATTGGGCCTCCTGGCGTTGCTGGGCCACTCGGACCAGAGGGGGAGAAAGTGAGTAATGTTTGTTGAAGTCACAATTGCTGTGTATGTACTATGTAGTCCTGTATGTGTGAAAATTAATATTTATAAACTCTAGTTTCCTCTTATTCATTTATTCCCAGTGTTTTGGACACGCCAGTTTCTCCTGTTTTTGTCGGTACTTCCTTACTGAGGTTTGATTAAGTAGATTTTTTTTTTTTTTTTCTTTTAGCACTTTGCCCTTATAAACTTTTAGCAGTCAGCTATGTTCTAATATCTTTATTCATGTTGAACTACTTATAAATAAATGCCAGAACATTGTTTTACAAAGTAATGTTTCAGTCCAAGAAACCCAAATACACACTACGAAGTAAAAAAATGTTTCTTGGTGACTGTTATTTAAAGCTCTTTAATTTACGGCTTTAAAATTATTGGGTTTCAGGAAAGAATTTGAGGTAAATGTATATTATCCGTCCAGGTTAAATGCCTGAATGAAGTCACTCATTCTTTTATTCTTTTGAGATTCTACTCTTAAAGTTGGGGTAGGTAATTTTGGAGAAACCAGCTTGAGTGCGCTAGAATTTGAAAATACACAGCCGGAAAAATGTGCCACTTCCTTACAGAGCCCCTCTTCCAACACACACGAACGCGCACATGACCAATGAGCGCACGAGATAAGTTTGTGCACAGGCAGACAGGCAGGTAGGCCATCCAGTTATTTTAGCCGGGCCGGCTCAGATGATTGGTCGTGCTTTTTACAGCGCTACGGCTTCCAGAGATGACATTTTTATATGGATTTTTTGTCAAAGCATTTAAGATATTCATTGCTATCGGGTTGTTAAGAGCATTCCATGGAATATAACAAAAAGTGTATCTCGAGCCGGTTTCTCAAACTTACCTACCCCACCTTTAAGGGAATCCTGGTCTTTATCGCTCTGTTGTGGCTTTCTGCACATCAGCTTGGTCTGTGCCAAGAAAAATATTATTTCAATATGATGTAACCCTTTTTTAAACCTGGCTCACAATAGGCAATGTTACTCAAAAAATTTCTCTGTAACATTGGAAAGGGGGTGGGGGGGGAGTTCTCCATAAATTGACTAAAAGGTGTTAGGGTTTAATGATCCCAGACTTAAGTCACTAACCCAGCTGTTTTTTCTTTTCTAGGGCATTCCTGGTCCTGTTGGAAAACCTGGCTCGAAAGGAAGACACGTAATGATTCATTTAATTAAGATTCTTACCATAGCTTATGGTTGCTTCTAGACACAAAAATGTATCTTTCATGCTGCAGGCATGCTTTTCTGTGTTATCTCATATTGTAAAAATCCATTTAATATACAGTACCTTTGAAATCAACAATCACATCGACAGGGACTTTTTAAATAATGTGTATGCTGTATCTGTTGTGAATGTGCCTTAGCAGCAGGACTCTGAATGCCAGTTTAACCCTCCTATTGTCTGGGGGGGGCGGGAACACATCTAGAGTATGTGTTTGTGTGTGTTTTATCTGATCCGGATGGTTACTAATTCCTTTTCTTTATGGCGGTCATTTTTTACCGGGAACCCCATGGGTGTTACAAAGTTGACTAATTCATCCAAAATTCAATGAAAGTGGTGATCAGCAATTGTATATGTTCAAATGACTGTGAAGGATATCATAAAACCTTAATGCAATCGAATGTAAAACGAAAAAGTTATGATTGATGAAAGTAGTAAATCGGTCCGATTTTACCGAAGACAAAAGGAGGGTTAAACAGTACAAAGAGAAAGAAAATAATGAGAAGAATAATTACTTTAGCGGATTTAACAAGTTACACATTATAGTTGTTTTATGAAATCGCATTTGGCATAGTCCATGTAATGCCAAGTGTGTAAAACTACGGATCAAGATATAAAGGAACGGAATGTCAAGGTTGAGCCCTCACACTGTGAAAACGTAATCTTTTAAAAACAAGCCTTAACGTCTCTGTTGAAGTTGCCAAGCCGGCATTCAGCCCAATGTTTGTTTAATCCGGCTAAATGGATCAAAGCCGCAGGCACACCAAACAAACTGCCATGTCTTTCATTATCTGAGCATTATCTTTACACCATGCTAATGTATTTCTGATCAACCATTTGGGGAAATAGCATGTTAATTGCTATGTATAATTCAAAAATTGGATGTCATGCATAACAGAAAACATAGATTTTAAGTGACATGAGGGAAGTAGGAAAAGCTTATTAACTCCTGTACCTTCACCTGTATGGAAGCTGATATACTGTGTGATAAGTGATTATTGGCAGTGGTTGCCCTGACCCTCTTAAATTGAGTGTGGATATACTTCCTCCACAGGGTGTGGTTGGTGATGCGGGGGAGAGGGGGCCTCCTGGTCCTGATGGCAATGAGGTGAGAACTCTTGTCCACATCTCTTTTTCTACCTTACCCTTTTCATCTTCCTCTGCGTGTGATTTGCCTTTTTATCCTCCATTGATATAGTCACAGAAGATAGTCTATTAATGACTAACCTTATCACTAGGTCTCATTACTGTCCGTTTTGGAGCCTGGTGGAGCAAATCACTGGTTAATTATACAAATTACTGAGCAGCTTTGATTCATGGATTTGTGGGTTCAGACAGAAATGTTAAGATGCTTTCTCATTTCAGGTGTTTGCAAATGAAAAAATTCAATTATACCTATAGCATTTCCAATGTAGCCTTGGAAATGAGGAATGTGCAATACTGTAAGTATCCTGTCCTGTGTACTTAGGATGTTGCTGTGATGTTTCACAGGGGCCTGTTGGTGGGATTGGCATTAGCGGCTTTCCTGGTCTGAGGGTGAGTATCAGTTTTGCAATCTTATCATTTTTATTTATGTGTTACACTTCCCACAGCTAATAGGCAATATGTAATTTCCCTGCCTCACAGTTCCATCTGTTTCTACTGCTTGAGTGTCCATCTTTTGTCTTACTTGTCTGTATAGTTTAAATTTGAGTTTGGATGTGCTGTGTTTCTCCATAAGTAATGAATGTGAATTTTCATGCTGCCCTCTGACCTGCTGTACAGTAGTGATCGTTTGTCCTGCATGTCAAGTAATGGAGATGTCCTTTACTTTGACCAACATTTTTCATGGTTGGGTCCAGTGAAGGTACCCTAAACATATACACATTTGAGGGTCCATATCAAATGACAATAACAACATTTGTCTTGGGAGGCATTGTGTTATTATGGCAGTCGGACAACATCTAACCAGGACTAATAGAGAACATGCTTTCTTTCACTGCAGAATGTGTAGTTGCTAAATAGTCTGTGATCACAGACCCCTCTTAATTGCCCCCCTGTTCATGTCATGAAAATAGATAAAACTGTATATATACAGTACCTTTGCTGCGCCTTCATTTCAAGCTTCATTTACACTGGCTTGCTCTCCCCATAGCATGGGTATTTATTGGTGTGCTGGAAGGGTACCTCTGTGTGTGCTAGACACATCTGGATGGATGGGGTTTCCTAAACCTTCCCTTAAGCTACTGGCTGTACGTCATCAATTAGTGAAGACGCAGTCAGATATGAAACATGCACACACCATCTTTATTTTGTTTTTACAAAAACATGGATATCATCAAAATAAACCTTTAACTTGTAGAGCAATCAAAATATATAGAATCACAAGTCTGAAGTAAATGTACACATTTTTCACTATTCACATCATAGATAACTTTATATGGTGTGTGATGTGTTCATATTTGCACACATGCATGTACACACACGTATTTAATGATAACAAAAGAAAACACTGTGCAGAAATTCTTCCTGTGTTCTGCAAAAAGAAAATCTGAGATGGTGGGCTGGCTGATTTAAAGCCTACCTTGGAATGTCAATCTTTTCTACCAAAATAATTGTCAGATATGATTAGAGCCCATGTTGAGAGAGTGGACATTTGTGGTAGAATTCTTTGCTAATAGCATTAGTGTATTCGTGCTCACACTTTCTTGTACAACACTCGTTCTCCGAGTCATGTTCTTTCCATTTCTTTATTTTAAATGGATATGAATAGATTTTGTGGAAGAAATCTAAACACAATCAAGCATTGATACAAATACACAGTTAATGGTGGCCTCATGATTTTTATGCAGTGCAATAATATTTATTATGGAAATGGCCAATCTTTTGAAAAGCAAAAACAGCCCCCATAACAAATCTATTAGTATCAGTAAAATGCATTAATATATCATATTATGTTAAATATAATATCATCATTGCCTGTAAGTCCTTTTAAGTAATCAAACAAGTGAGCCAACATACTTACACCTCCTTAATCCTGTCCTTTGTGTAATTCATATTTACTCCACAGCTGAGTGATTTTGTCACAGGATAGATTATAGAGCTTTTATTTGATATTTAACACTCATTTTCACTTTCACTCATTTTCACACGCAATTACACAAAGTTGTAGCTTTCTCCACGTAATCAGAGAGCAGCGCAGAGAGTTGGTTCTGGTTTGCAATTGATGTGTTTCCCAGTGTGTGACTCAAGAACATTTGATGCAGCCAGACACTCATTAACAGTCTGAATGTAAATCAAAAGTGTTGTTGTTACGAGTGTGTACTGTTAACACACAACCACTCTAACCTCAACCAGTTTCATCATATTTACGATAAAATAAGGCCTGTGTGTATATTTATATAATCGCATGTTGTTGAGTTAATGATACATTTTATGCGCAGAGTTTTATTTGATTAGCTTTTCTGAGGTTACAGTGGTTGTGCTGAAACACGTGTTACAGGAATGCTCCAATCTGTTTTTTGTCAGGACTTTAATCACTTATCTCCAGTGTTGCTGGTTGAGATAATGGTTTGAATGATGATCCCTAACTGCCCGCCTGTCAGGCAGCATCCTGACAGCAGAGTGGGATGTACATGTACCAGATCCCTACTACTTTTTTAAAGGAAGTCATTTTCACTTTACAGCACGTCATGGTTCATGTGCTCTCTGTAGAAAGCCTCTCTTGTGACTGGCACATGTGATTTGTGTATGTCCTGCACATGTCCTGGATGACGTTAAGCCATGTGCTTTCACTCACACACCTCTAGCTACAACATTTTTGCTTATTGCCAAGCTGAATGATTGCGAGTTTGGAAAGAGAATTGTGCAGTAGTAAAATGAGTATCTTCTCCTGACTGTCTTGGAGTAAATTGCAACGTCTCTCTAGCTTTACTCCCTTCTCCATTACGTGGTATAACAAAGGAATCCATACCTATATACCAATGTGCAAAAGTTGTATTTACTTAATTTTGTTTCGTGTCTGACAACACAATATAATAGCTGCTGGGATGGTATAAACATTCACCAACTGCATGCTTGCTTGAAAAGGGTGTATTCTTGCTGTCCAGACACACATTCTGGCGAATCAATCCAATATTGGGGGCTGGCAGTGTTGAGCACGGCTAAGCCCAGGCCCATACAAATCAACTGGATGCACTGTCAACACAGCTTAGTTTTGTTGTTGGGATGTGACAGGAAGGCTCTGGGTTGGATTGTGAAAGTGTCAAAATAGCATCACTGCCAAGAAGAAATTGTAAACATTCAGTCTGAAAAAATCCATTGAGTGTCGGGCAACAAACAGGCCAGTATCAGAAAATTGTGTGGGTGTCTGTGTGTTATTGATACATGAATTCCATTGTGTACCTCCTTCCCTCTATAGGGGGACACAGGGCCTGAGGGACTGCAAGGCCTGCCTGGTCTGATGGGACCTCAGGTAAGTTAGACATTTGCGCCTGCAAATGCTCTAAATTATAGAAAAATACTTTACAGTACAGTCAAATTAAACCATTTAAATCTGTCCAAAATGTACTGTAAGTCTCTTCACCTCATATATGTAGTAACATCATATAAATGTATGCATTATCTGGTCTAGTCTGATTAGGATTCCTTACACAAATGTTCCCCTCCCCTCTCTGTCTCTCTAATTCTTCTACCCTCCTCTCACTGTGGCAGGGCCCACCAGGACGACAGGGCCTGCCTGGATTGAAAGGTGATAAGGTGATTTAAATATTTATATTATTGCAGTGTTTCTGTGTCTATAGACAAGCTCACATAATGATACATATTACAAGGGTTTTGCATAATGTTATTAGCATTATACACTACGATTAATACATTTATTTATATATATCTTATCTTCAGTCGTATTGTGATCACTGTGGCAGGGCAGTGTTATATCTCTGTATGATACTGTGAAATTTAGGCTGGAGTGGGACATATGGGCGAACCAGGAGAGATGGGGATCCAAGGTGACAAGGTACTTCTCTCCTCACACAAGCAAGATTTTAAGTAAAACACAGATGAACACCATCTGAAACGTATTGCAATTCATAGACAGATCATCAGACATTTGTTACACACACACACACACACACACACACACACACACACACACACACACACACACACACACACACACACACACACACACACACACACACACACGTCTTGGCATCTAATCATGCACTCAGTTATATGAAAATGGATAGGTAACACATCAAATGACACACACAGATGTTGTGTAAGACCAGTTTGAGTTTAAAGTGTTATGTCTGATTCTTTCAGGGGGATTCTGGTGTACCTGGTCCTGCTGGGCCGAAGGGGAAACCAGGACCACCGGTATGTTCGTGTGAGTGTGATATGTGTCTGTACAGCCAAGGGCACATGTGTAGACATTACTGAAAGTGTGTTTATTTGTGCATTTAATGCATGTTTGTATATTTGTGTGTGCATGCATGCCAAGCTTTACAGATTGTATACAACTTTTATAGATAAACCTAAGTAAACAGTAGGCTTCTGTGGCTATGAGGTTAAATCCCACCCTGAATAACATGTTGATGTGTCCTTGGGCAAGATAATCCATACAATTGATTCTGATGGCATGGCAAACGGCGTGTGAATGTTTGTCAATGGTCAGACTCCTTGAGCCGGGGGGCGCCTTGCATGGCAGCCCCTGCATCTGGATGAATGTGTGTATGGGTGAATGAATGCTGTATATATGAAAGTGCTTTGAAGAGTTGTAAAGTCTGAAAAAGCGCTTTATAAATTAACTCCAATTAACAATGTACTACAAAGACATTCAGAATTTGTTTACAAGTTGTTAGCTGCTTGTCAGTTCAGTCATCTTGGCTCAACTCTTTAGCTTTATTGTACACTTGCTGGTAGTTTGCTTCCATGAGAAAGGAAAAAAACTGAAGAATATATCTCCCTCCTTACATCTGAATTTGGGTGCATCAAACTCAAATGTAAGGAGCCTTTGTATGTCTGTTCTTTGATTTTTCCCGAAGAAAGTGCAGTGTCAAATGCTACCAGTTGAGATGTATCGGAGAAAATTATTAGTTGGGTTAATATGCTGTGTAAGGCATTGAGAGGGGACCCGCGTTAACTATTACAACAGCGATCAGCATGCTGGATACAGCTTACTCTCTATCAGTGTTTCTGGAGCTTGAGCATTTCTACTATATCAGAGCAGGTGTATTGCTCTGGAGCCAGGCACTGTCCAGTGTTGAGTGGTTAGGATGAGCGAGAAATCTGCATGAAGCCATCAAGCGGGTAGAAACCGTACTAGTTCTAAACAAGTCTTTAGTTTGTATGCAGCATCAGATGCAGTCTACTCATAAATCAGAATAAGAACAATGTTAAAAGGGTGTAATTTTATAAGAAAAATGTGTGTTCCTCCATGAGGTGTAAAAGTTTATCCAAACTCAGTTTTCAGTATTGTTTTGTCGAACTGATTTGTTTGCTTTTGAATTTAAGTAATCCCCCCCCCCAAATAAATAAAGAAAACGTTGTTTACTGTGTCTTTTAAAACGTAGCTGCACAACCTGCTCATACAAAGTAGAAAAAGCAAGCATTACTCACTATGAAGTGAGAGAGGGAGAGCACCGTTTAGCGTTAGGGGTTAAGGGTTAAGTGTTTAATGACTGGACAGAGTGACTTGAGTTTAGCCTTGATTCCTGATATCAGGTGTCCATGCTGCATCATACTGTGACTGATCACAGAGTGAACACAATATAATAATGGTGTGTTTTCTGTACTTCAAAAGGGTAAAATTGGTGAGATGGGGACACAAGGACAAGCTGGGCCCCCAGGACCAGAGGTAGGACACACTTATCAAAACTAATTATTCAATTTTTGATCAGTATTTTTTTATATCAAACTTATGATGGTTCCAGGTTCTCATATGTGAGGAATGTCTTTATTCTGTCAGTACATTTACTCTCTTAGAAGACATTTGATGACACCACCTTATAGATATTGTGATAACATTAATATATTTTTTTCAGTTTTATCAGCAGAATAATTGATTAATGATTTATTGATAAATGTTTGTATTGTTTTTGGTAATCCTCTAACATTTACCTTTAGAGCCTCCATTATACGTATTTGTTTACAAAAAAAAAAATCAAAGTCTTGCAGATTAAAATCATTTTTAATGAGCTCATTAATGCCCCTTCCCCCAGATGGAGAACATTGAAGCCTTCCTAAAGCACTACCATCAGATTACATTTTTTACTTTTTACCAAAAATGTAAATAAAAGGTTATGTTTGAAACTTTAGTGCGGGACTTTTAGACATCAATGAACTTCCGTTTCACTAAAGCGTTGCCAAACAAGATCACACAAATGCGTATAAAAGACCAACGCCGCCATGACTAGCTCTCTATTTTTCAGTATAATTGTGGTGTCTATTTAATGTGGCGACTTTCCTACGCTGGCGCAACAGCGCTGCGTGTTATGTCAATCAGAAAGGGCTGAATGGTTTGAAGATAGAGTGTAGCGAAAGCTGAGGTGTGGATTTTTAGTAGAAAAAACAAACTATAGGCCTCCTGCTGGGGAGTTGCAGCAAGTTCTGGCAGGCATACGTCTTAAGAACGCTTCAACAACGTTAGTGGTTTGCTCTCTCTGCCAGAGGGGGGAGACAAAAGTTGTACATTCCAGTTATAATAGTGTATTTTGTTGTGGTTATTCGTGAACACCATTTGCAACAGATAGTGACTCGATGACATTTCCTGTTTTGTCAGCTCTGGGTCAAAATGTATTCTTAACATCTCAAAATCTAAATAACAAAATAACAAAGAACTTAACACAACTCGCAAGAGAATTTAGCCTTTTTTGGGTATACTAAAGAGTTTCATAATGATAATCTAATACAATTCAAATTTAATTTTGTCTCACTAGCCCTGAAACGTACTGACGTCCATGTGTTGCACCAAAACGACACTAACCTTTTGTCCCTTGCTTTCCCTGTTCTGGCATCTCCCTCCAGCATGCCTGTGCTTAGGTTGTAGAAACGTAACCTTTTTTCAAATAGGTCATTGTTGATGCCTCCAATTATCTGAAAAGCGTGGAAAATGTCATAAGACACGCTGCAGTCAAACGTGCAACACCACAATAGGTCACAAAGGCCACATCTTACGTATCATTCTGAAATGATTGATTATGTAATGGCAGGCATGCCTGAAGGTATTCCGCTTCTATCAACTCCGTCGCGGTCCATCACTATTTTCACATCAGTTTTCAATAAGCCGGCCTACACACACTAGCGGTGTTAACCCAGTGTGATACAGTTTTATGCAAGATGCCTTCAGATATTTGCAAAAAGGAGCTGCTGCAGAACATCAACATACTAATACACCTACTTTATACCTGACAGTTTAATTCAGATTGATCTTACCCATCCTTTATGTACACAGAGATTCAATGAGTATATTGGATTTGTGGATGGTATCAAACACAACCAATTAGTCATGTGACTCATAACGGGGAAAATAATAAAAACATATGATAACACTTTAATCTCCTGATTTTGCAAGGGATTTCCCGGGGACATTGGATTACCGGGGCCTAACGGACCACCTGGACCGAAGGTACTCAACATCTCTCTCTGACTGTTTATTGATTCATTTCTTTTGTTATTCCGTTAACATTCATGCATCTGGCTGTGTTTCAGGGTTTGCAAGGTGCCAGAGGACCCCTAGGCCCACAAGGTCCACAAGGAACGCAGGTGAGACAATTCAACACCCAATTTATTTCCACAAGTCTGCTCGTTTCTTTAATCTCTATTATGGAAAGTAGAAATATGACACATCAAGGGAGTTCCATTAGATCATTAGTCTGAGGCAAGTTTAACCAACACAGCACTTCTCATTTACCGTCTAGTCATAGCTCAAACAGTGGCAGCCTAGATCCTTGTGGGAGTGTTCCTCTTTGCCATATCTCTCGGGGCATGTTCCACTGGGTGAAGTCATTATTCATCAATTGGTGCTAAGAAAAACAAAGCTTAAAGTTTTCCAGCAATGGAAAAAAGCGTTGTGCGTTGACCGCATTTTGAAAGGCGTACAACGGACACTTTTCAAATGTGCTGAACGTTACAGTATTTATCTGGCAACTGTTCACAGAGGTGTAATTAGCCAATGTGTTCTACTCCTCTCACACACACTTTCCAGGTATGATCTCACAACAACTCAGTCATAGAAAACAGAGACCAAAACTGTTTGATTCCTGACAGAATAGACACGGAAAGTATCTTTTTAGATCTACTCAAGCTACTTGAGTCCAAAGACAAAATTGGATTACACTTATCTGACAGCTGTGTACAGAGGCTAGGGGAGGACAGGGAGGGAGGAAGTAGACCTTTAATATTGTGAGTTGACAGTCATGCTAATGGAATGCTAATGTTACTGTGGGTGCATTTCATCACGTGTTGACTCTTGTGTATATGTGAGCATGTGTTTGTGTATGTGTTTATGTTTGCAAATATCTGTATGTGAACAACACTGTGATCTGCAGGGTGATGAAGGACCACTCGGCCCACCTGGCAGCGCGGGCCCTACTGTAAGAACCTCTGGACTTGCATACTTTGTATCTACACACATACACATATAAGGATCGAGGGTGTCGTTTTTCTCATACTGATATTCTGAACAATGTGTGCTTTTGTATTAGCTGTAAAGTGTCTCTACTGTAGGCTATTTTTATTATATGTACAGCACTTTGGCTTGACCAAAAATCGTTTATAAATGTGCTATATAAATAAAACTTGATTTGATTTGATACAAACAAAAAGACAACATGCACACGAATTGAGCGTTTCGGGGGGGTTTAAATAAAACAATTCACTTAGATGTTCTGTCTGGGAGCAGCTTGGATGAGATGTGATGGATATATATCTTTTGATCATTACGTTTGTGTTTGTTTTTTTGTGTGTGTCTCTGCCTGTGTTTATAGGGAAGACCCGGAAGGAAAGGCTTCATAGGCGAACCTGGCCCAGACGGTTTAGAAGTGAGTCTAAATCTGTATAAGTATATCTGAATGCCATCATCTGTAGAACATTGACAGTCGTATGGCTTGCCCTCTCAGTTTTGATTATAATAGCTATCAGTTTCTTCACAGTTTTCTTTTACCTAAGAAAACCCCAGCATTCCAGACTCAATCCTCGCCCTATTTTATTGCATGTAATTTGCTTTGGAACAAACCACAAATGCAGTGCAAAGATCATTATATCTTGTGTTTCAAGATTTTATTACTGAAAATGTGTCTCCATGTTTGTGACCCATGTATTGCCTATTCTTACTGTGTTGTAAACACGCTCTTAATTAAGCCGGAAAATGATTTATTCTGTGCGTGTGTGTGTGTGTGTGTGTGTGTGTGTGTGTGTTGTGTGTGTGTGTGTGTGTGTGTGGGTGTGTTTCTTTGATCCCTTGATCGCAGAAAACTAACCAGCACACTGTTTAATGTTTTCTGATTGCAGGGAGAAAAAGGGGACATTGGAAATGTTGGAAAAATCGGACCACAAGTGAGTTGCTTCCACAGTAGTAACATTCAGGAGATTAATTAACAGCCACCCTGCTGTTAAGCTTCACATTAAATCCCTCTTTAAGATAGTTATCGTGGAGTCTGTGATGTAGCTTTTAACAGCTTTAGTTCCTTTACCTAAAGGTTTTAATGGTTTTCCTCAGATTAACGTACATTTTACACTGAGAGGATGAAGCAATGCCTCCATAGTTAATTGAAATAAAATCTTCAGTGTGGCAACTGTTGAGGAAGTCGCAGGGTAATCCTTTGATGACTTGGTGTTTTTGTAACCCACTGTTGATGTTGAGAGAAGTTTGAATCTTCTCCATCCACCGAATAGCGTTTTTATAATGGAATTAGCAGAACACCACAGTAGAACAGAAAGAAAGTCACATCATTTGGGTTTCAAATGTTTTGAAGCGTGGGTTTGATGCCCGAGAATCATATTTGTGGTGCATGACGTCCACATAATAACTTCAGTAGAAAACATTGTCAAAACATGTTGTTCTTGTCCAACAAGTGGCTTTGCATGTCTCCCAAAACATCTGTTAGGATTGTGCCTAAATGTACCAATGAGCAGCTAAGTCACAGTTTCATGTCTGTCTTTCTTTTTAACGCTTCATTTAATGCTTTATACCCAGCACAAATACTCTAGAGAATTGTTGGGACATGTTTCCGCTTTGCTAACGCACACAACTGCTCGGAACATCCAAAGTATGTCCGTCCTTCCCGGAGGCCCCTTAATGTTAATATTTGCATTCTGTGCATAGTGGAGGCAACCAAGAGGGCCGTGTTCCACTGTGTTGCTGGAGTCCACATATGAGAGGGATTAAGCACTTACTCAGTAGAGGGGCCTTTGAAGCCAAGAAGGAGCCATGGGGCTATGCAGAGAAAAAAACCCCTCTAAAACATATGGAGGCTGTAATGGATGCCATTACATCACTTTCCAAATACATTTGCTGTGTAAAAACTGAGATTGACGGTTGTTGACTAGCGCAGGTTAACCAGGGGTCGAAGCAGCTAGGCCGCAGGTCGCTTGTCTTCATCGAGTTCCCCTGTATCACCAGGGGGGCCCCCCCCATAAACTTTTTCAAGTGAGATTTTATTGGAGGTTTTTATAGTTTTAGCCAATTTAAATTGACTGCTGAGTGTTCCATTTTGAAGTCACACTCCAGTCCACAGTGAATAAAACATGGATCAGTCATCAATTACCAAAGCCAGCCACAGGTGTGCTTTGATATATAGTTCACATGTCAACCTCTGGGCTTTTGGCTTTCAGTGACTCAGTGCGTACTCACATATGTGAACCAAAAAAGAGGCATTTGTGAGGGAGAACCTTAATACTTTCAACATTAAGTGACGTGGGCTGTATTTCTTCTCTTACCTTAAAGATAATGGGTATACCAGTACTTTAGTAACTCTAGCTGTGTCAGAGGAAACAGAGTACCTTCAAACGGTACTGTTAAAGCTCCCACGATCATGTCTCATGGAAACCCCTTTAAAACCATTTCCATTTGTTAAAGGATACAGTGTACCACTTTGTGTTCTAATTAAGGGATTTGAGGTAGATTTAGAGCTCCTGTTCCCAGGCCTGCAGGCTGCATCCCCTCACAGACACTCTGCTACTTAGGATAATACCATTTGGTGATGATGCATGACTAACACTTTGAGCTATGAGCCTTTTGTAAGGGAGTAGCAAATGGAAGAACAATCTTATTGTGTTTATAACAGTGGTTTGTTTCTTAGCTATCAGTTTGTCAATCTGTTATGTTACTCTCAGTCTCTCGCTGTCTCTCTCTTACTATTTCCCTCTTGTTCTCTAGACACAGAGAGATACAGAAAAATGAATAGATGTAAACAACAAGAACATTAACTTTAAAGTTATGTGCCAAAAGTCAGAATAGCACCGATGTACAAACGTATAACCTTTTGACTATGTGGATATACGGTATATCTTTCTACAACATGAAGCACAGCAATTGGAAGACTTGGACCTCACAACAGGAGAGAGCCGCAGTCTGACGGCGCTGGCTTTCGTGATTGGCGAAAAGTGAAACCACGCTCTGAAATCGGGCAATCCTATGAATTATTACAGTAACACTGTTATTAGGTTCAGATGTTCTTAGTGATTGCCATGTCCCGCTACCTCAGTGCACGTGCTGTGCTGCTGTAAAACTTGCACTATTGTGAATTTGGGCCAACTTGTTACGTTTGAGTGCATGTTATTAGTATTTGTTTACACTTTGTACTTTAAGTGTAAACACAAAACAGTTTTCAATCAAAGCAAAAAAAACAACATTTAAAGGGACGAGACATGGTTTTAAAAGTACCATTATACACTCTGGCTGTTTGTGTATCCAGCCTGCCATTATTCCTGCAGTTGGTATGGAACTCCGGTAGAAAGGCTGGCTCTGGTCCAAACCTCAAAGCCTGTCCCGTACGACTGGTCTGGATTTAGTTACGCTCCTCCGATAACTCTCATTTTTATATTAGCTGAAGTTTTTCCTTTACTCAATAAAGTGTCTTTTTGAGGCCATCTGTATTGAGTTGGTTTACGATGTAACACTATCATGCCCTAATCCCAATCACTGACATTCTGCCCGAGTCATGTTATTCTTGCTTAATGATGGTTTAGTTCCACACTTCACAAACACTTAAGAAAACATCACGGTTGCAACCTTTTTGTTGCTCTGGTAGTTCATTAATGAATCATACTTTATTATCCATACCATATTAATTGTCAAAACAGTTTTATAATAACAGTGGGCCATAATTACTGGCAAATAATGATTGTTTTCTGCTCTTGCTTTATGTTTCTGTCGTATTGTTTATTAGAGCATGAATTCCCTTTACACCTTGTAAGACGCCTACATTTATAAAAGATTCAAAGTAAAAAAGCATGTATTCTATGTAAAACCCTTTTTTAGAAGTAGCCCTAATAAAAGTGTATTGTAAATAAATGAAGATTTAGAGTGCAATTCAATTTAGTGATGCCTTGCGCTGCAGAGGTCATCCCGCATGACATTGTTATCAGATGATCTCCTTTATTCAGGGTTTCATAAGACATTAGAGAACAACCCTTAGATGAATGAAGATCCCATCATCACATTGACATACTTTCTCTTGATGTGTTTGTGTTGAACCCCTGTCCTCTGTTCTCCTCTCCAGGGTCCAATAGGCCTCATTGGGATTGCTGGGGTGATGGGAGTTCCCGGTGAAAAGGTAAGGAGTGTGTTTCTCTGTCATTAGGCTGTCCGTCAGCATCAGCTATTGCTTGTCAGCAGCAGAACCCTGTAATTTGGGCTGTGTTAAGCAGCCATGGCTTGAGGCACCAGAGGGCCCAAAACACATACTTAGATAAATACTCACACCCGCACATCCACATCAATAACAATATAGTCAAAGACTTGTCAGCATTATTGCCTCTCATCCCTCAACCCCCAGCTGAAGCAAACAAGGTTAATTTGAGGGAAAATGTCACCTGACGACAAATTGGTCTGTCGCTTTATGTCAGAATATGTCCTGATTGGGGTTGTTAGACACATTTATGTAATCTTCTGTTTATATTCACACAATAATACAAAAGTAGTAAAATAACTCATGATGCATTCTTAATGTTCAGTTTCCGATGCCTCTCAGCTAAAAAAAACAAAAAAACAATTTAAAGAGCTTTGCATTTGTTCTGCTCAGTTGAACTTATTTTACTGTCAGTTTGGGTGTTGAATGTTAACACTGCCCCTCTCTCTATTTCAACCCGTTTCCCTTTCTGCGTGTCAGAACATGTTGTTGTGATGTTGTCTGCTTGTCAGACTCTGAGCTATCCTCCACCCTCTCTTACGCAGAATCCCTACTGTATGAGCACCAGCCGTACCCTGACAGCCCACACATATCTTTTACATTTTTTATGTAGATATTATATAATTCAATACCATATTTTGGTTTAGACTTTTCTTTCCAATACATATTCTGCTCATTCTTTGATAGAAGTCCAACAAGAACTCAGGAAGTGAACTTGTACAGGCATGAGTGCTGCACAGTTTAAGGGGGACTAAAGCATCACTGACACAAGTGTTAGAGGGGTTAGAGCAGAGACCTAGGCAGCTTAACTGCTCACCCCAAGATACTTTTACTTTGAACACACTGTGCCACCAACTGGGTTTTAAAGTACCTTCTCTCTTTAAACTCCACTCAACCAGCTGTCATATTCTGCATTTGAGATGCTGCTCTCCAGTTTCATGACTCCTTATTAGGTTAGTGCATGTGAGGTTGTGTTGGGTTTTGTGTGTGTTGAGCTTTCAGGTCATAGTTTAATGATCAGCTCTCTTTCTGTCTTGCTGTTTTTCCCCCCAGGGTGACCGAGGACCAGCGGGCCCAACAGGTCCAGTCGGGGAGAAAGGGCCAAGGGTAAGTAGAGTCTCTCAGGATAAACTGCCTCTTGTCTCAGAATTAGTAAACCCCAGAGACAAATTGTATCCTGTATATTCAAGTACTTATCAGAACTTGAATATATTGTTCAGTAAACGGATGACTGAGGAAGACAAGACTTTTCTTATTTACAAGGTTTATTTCGGTTTATTTCATGGAAATGAAAGCAAACTCTCTTGGCCTAAAAGGATCCAGACTCCTCAATGTTGTAACCTTTTTAGATACTAATCTTTGCAAAATGTAGCTGTGTCAAATTGGTTTTCCCCCAGCGGTGGTGTTGATGGGGGTGAAACAAAACAGCTTTATGTTAGTCAGTGACTAAGGTTTATAGACCCTGGATGTGGATCTGTTGAAAGACATTTTGCTATCCTGTGTCTGTCCTAAACATTTTAGTCAAATCTCTCTTGCTATGATGAGACCTGTGATATATCTAACTAACTGAACCAGCGTTGTTGGTCTATCAGTTAAAATGGGACTGATAAGGCTCCCAGTGTGAAATTCATTCATCAGGTAATTTATTCTGTTAAACAGTTTACAAAATAAAGGTATGAGCACTCTCTCATACCGAAAAAGAGCTACAGTATACCTGCACACACATATCTTGTTTAATATTTGTATATTTGCAGGATAATAGTTAAGTTAAAGATTGTTAGCCCACACAGTTTTGAGCAAGATGTGTTGATGATTTGCATGAAAATGCTTTTTAGGCAGTGTTGATTCCCAAGGGAATAAACGCTGCTGTCCAGGATTCCTCACTGTACCTGGGGCCTTAAATTAACTCCCTATCTGGGACTTTGGGCCCCGGGCCTGACCTAGCTGGCTCGCAGGCTGAGAGATTGTCTGGCTGGATGAGAGGATGACTAATCTGGTGGCCGGCTGGTTGAATATTTAGAGGATTAAATCACTGCTGGTCCGTGTGCTTGTTTGATTCTGAGAGAGAGTTTTGTGACTTATGTAAGAACTTCTTACGACTTTGTGGACCACATCAGCGAGGAGTGACAGTCTTTGGGCTGTATCACCATTGAGTTCAATGATCATGTTACAAGGTTCTGTTTCTGTTTAAAGGCAGGGATCCATATTTCCTGGAAAATATCAGCCGCTTTTGTCTATACTTTCTTTGTCATCATACTCCTCAGTTGATTATCACAGAAAGACACTGGGTACTGTGATGAGAAACCACAACACACAGCTGTTTTTCTTCCTCGCAGGGATGGAACATATCCTTGAACAATGTAATGTAAAACACAATCCCAATCATTTCCCAGTACAGATGTCTGCCAGTTTTGCGGTTAATTAAATACATACAGAATACCACATTAGTAAAGCACTACCCTTATAGTCCTAAACATTGACATGGCTTCTTCTTGTCTGCCCTTCTTTAATGTTTGTATTTTCTGTTTTGATCTTAGGGCTATCCGGGGGTGCCAGGCGGTCCAGGGGACATAGGCATGCAGGGGCAACCTGTAAGTGCCATACCCTCACCACCACTATGCATTCCCAAAAAGTGACTGTTTTCATTGGAATGATTGCTATAAATCTATATTTGCTATATGGTTTAAAAAGATTGTGTACTACTTGCACACCACCGGATACAGCTTGTTAACTTGTTTTTGCTGAGGATTATGTTTCTCTTTCTTTGAGTCATACACACATTAGCACTAAATTGACGGAGAAGCTTGGAAGACTTGACTCTCATCTTGCCTACTCAGGGTCTTGGCTGAAAAGAATAAACAGCTAAATGACCAGATTAACTTGAACTGAGTTGGATGAACATACTGATGGTTTTTGTAAACGCATAAAATGTAAGGGGGGATTTGAATCCGTTTTCATGTTTCCCACAATGTAGTCTAGACTTTATAAACAGCATGAACTGGCAGATTGTTCAGTAGCTCTGCTGAAGCTACTGAAGCTTTTGTAAAGCATCCATCAGGGCTGGTGTTGTTGTGTGTTTAAAGAAGCATGGAGAAATGTATGCCCTGTTTAGTTTGTGTAAATATTCTGACAGTATTTAATTTTTGTCCAACTGCACCATGTCAAAGAAACATGAACATCGTCCTAAACTACTTCTCCAAATCCTAATCCCGTCCCTGATGTCCATCTTGTGGTTCTTGTTATCGCTCACAGGGTCCAGCGGGGCAGACGGGGAGTCCAGGCACTGCTGGGTCAAAGGGAAGGAGGGTAAGAGCAGTCTTTGAGGCATTATTACTACGAGTCCTTTGAATGTTGCTGTGAGCCCACATCCACTCGACATCTCATGAAATCTTCCCCTATAAGATCATTGGTAGTCTGTTTCACATCACAACTCCAGTCCCACAAACCAAAGGTTAAAGCAATTAAAAGACATATGTTTATCCTTCCAATTGGTCTGAGCTTCTTTACAACAGTTTCGTATGCGCCATGAATCACATGTTAAAGTAATGTTAAATGGAGAGGTAATACTAGTGAGACATCGTGTGGCTGAGAGGAGAATGACACCTTACTCAATTTTCAATGGCAGTATGAATAAAGACACAACTTAAGACATTATTTTGTTTAATTATATGAATAGTTTATGAAAATAAGTAATATCTCATCCTAAAACACATTGGGCAATAAAACCATAATTTAAAGAATGTGACATTTTCATTAAAAAAAATTTCATTTTCATTAAAAAAATATACTCTGTTATTTTATTTGGTACACCTTGGGGGTTGGACACAGTTATGGCACAACCTGTACTACTACTTTGAAGTATAATAGTTATCTCTCAAATGTAACTTGTACTGACACTTAATCTTTGTTTCAAGATGGTTCATGTTTAAGTTGACTAATATTTTAACTCTTGTACAGTTTTTATTGCTCTAATAATATTTCCCTTGACCATACTATAGATCCTGGCTCAATAGAATCAAACTGTTTAGTATTGCCTTTAGCCTGTGAAGTTAAAGCAGAGCAATTAAGCAGCCTGTCAGCTCTAACTGCATGCTTGTGTTTTTTACGAGTGCGGTTCACATTGTGAGATCATTCTAATAAAGATGGTATTTAATGTATTTTAGTAGGAGAGCAGCTTGATGGTGTGCAGAGGGCACTGCACACCACCAGAAAACGAAAGCTTACACTATCTGATTCTTGTATCAGTGTTTTGCTTCTTTTAGACAAGGTTAATATAATAAGAATTAGTGCTAAACCCAGTGCCTTTACTTAGTCATATACTTATTGAAAAATATTACAAAACTAAATTAATTTCATGACTGAAAAATACTTTTTAGAATCATTTCAGTTTAGGCAAGGCAGGTGTATTAGGAGGCGCAGTGGATAGAGCCTTGGTCTTGGGATCAGATGGTCACGCCACTGCAGTCAACATGTCGTTGTGTCCCTGGGCAACACACTTCACCCCAAATTGCTCCTGTGGGGATTGCCCACAGTATTGAGTATGTAAGTCGCTTTGGATAAAAGCGTCTAACAAGTGACATGTAATGTATTAAAATAGCACATATCAACACAAGACGATTCTAAAAGCATTACAGAAAACATTAGAAGCATTAAGGAAGAGTGCAACACATTCACAATATAAAATGACAACTAAATGTATTTCAAAACGTTCACAAAAAAGCCGAAGGTATTGCAATAAACAAACTAAATAAGAATATGACTGGTAGAAAATACAATAATTAAAGTCACAGTGTAAGATATTAATAGTTATTTGATTTAATAGAAGGCTGTGGTAAAAAGAAAAGTCTTCCAATTTAAAAGAAGTGAGAGATGCGGACCTGCAGTGTGCTTGGAGTTTGTTCCATATGGAGCAGTGTTCTGCTTTACTTTCTCAATCAAAAACGTCAGTCGCCGTTGACTGTCATTAATTAATGTATCCCTGAAACAGTATCTGTACTGTAGTAACAGTGGCCAAAACGCTTAGTCCAGAAGTGATGGACATGTGCATTTATTTATTTAGTTCATAAATATTCAGATGAGCTATTATCTTCATCAAAGAATATTTGGCACTGTAATAAACTGTTTATTTGTACCATATTTTCCAGTGTGGATTGTACTGTATTGCGTGCATGTTCACCGGGTATGATAGTATCCGGGAAACATGTGCTTATCCTGCCTTTCATTTACAGTAATGATTCCTAAAAGGATGGCTTACGTGCACTTCCCCCAGGGATAGTCTGCCTAACAGTTCAATGGTAAAGCTTTCTTTCTGATTAAATGTGAGTTAATTTCAGTTGAGCAAGAACATGCAAGAGAAACGCTTACACACCAGTTGAGTGATGCATACTGCCGCACTTCTTCACACACTTCATCAATCCTCTGTTAGTCACTTCCTTTAATCCTCTGCTCCCTTTTTTCAAAGCAAAGCATATGGTAGCTCTTAACATGCCCCTGCTTGGGTTGTTTACTGGAATCCATACATGTGTCTGTGGTTGCATTTCCTGTCTTGCTGAGGTGAGATATAATAACCCTCAAATCCTCCCACTTCCTCATTAGTGTTTCTTTTCCATTGTGGGTTTCAAATTGTAAGATTTCACAAGTTTAACTGGTCCATAATGGATAATATGCCTCGACAGTCACATGTCCCCCCTCCCAGCTTTTGGAAAAGATTTCAAATTAAAACGTAAAGAAAGCAAAAAAGAAGTGCTGCACAGCTTCATTCTTATCATTTTACCCTCTGAGCTATAAAAGAACAAGTCATATCCTGGTTGGCACACACCTGTACTACTTCTAAAGCTTTTTCTTATTTTGGGAAAACAGTATACTGCCACTGGATTATGAAAAACGATGTCTCCCCTTTTATCTAATGTATCTAAGTCAAACTCCTCTTTCCCATTTCAATGATCACTCACAGTGGAATGAACCCTACCAATTGAGAAATGTTCCTGTAGACAAATGGTCTGTAATAATGTCAGTTTTTACTCGGGGATAAGCAGTTGTTGAATTGGCTCCATTTAAGAGTGTTGAACTATTCTGCAGACTGTTTATTATTAAACATTCAGACTAACTGGACAAAACATGTTAATGATGGTAATGACTTAATATCAACCTTTGACCAGAAACTGTGTTTTCTTAGTTAACAAATTGAAAGGACTCAATAAAACACTGAAAAGGATGGACAACGTGTTACAGTAGCATTGGTCACTTGGCAGAAAATATTGCCTCATTGTCTTTTAAACGGTCACTGGAAAAGATTTGAGGGAGATTAATTAAAGGAAGAACGAAAGCGATAGAAAGATAAAGCGGGTTTTGACGGCCTGGAAGCTTAAAGAGAGAGGAGTGACCTGAAAGGGACGGGAGTGAGACAGGAAGCCAGAGGCTCAGACCAAACAGGAACTGAACAAGGGCCATCAGGGCAAATATAAAGAGGGGGGGAGACCAGATGGAAACAAAAGATGAAAGTGGAAAAGTCCTGAGGACGAAAACGAGGGACAGGAAGTAAAAGGGGCGGGTCTTGTTGTATTTACAGATTGTTATCTGTCACTCTACCTGTGTGGTATAGCTCCATTGCTGGGAAGCCTCTGGAATGTTTGTGGAAAAAAAACAAAAATGTC